AGGATGAAAGACCATGCGAGAAGTGCCAAAATCGGGCACCTAGTTCTGATAAAATCAAATGCTAAATCTAGCAGGAAAGCACAAGTTTGCTGATAAATTATTCGTTTGGGAAATAAGTTCGGTTAACGGCTCTTAAATCGAGTTCGGGAAGTGACAGTTAGTGTTTCATAGGCATGTCACTGAGATGTCGGCCCCGAGTAATGCTTATTCTGAATCCTAAGTTATGTCCCAGGTAATCAAAATAAATTGTGATTTTCATCTATCTAAAGCTGCACTTGCCCCTTCATCGCTTTTTACAAAAAAGATCAATAATATGCCAGTATAGAATCGCAGGTCTGTTTATCATTGGAATTCTCGAATAGTAGATACGAAAAGCACAAAATTATAGTGAAGGGAGAAGTTGTCAGCTGCATGCACTGAAATTCAGGCTGTGAATTGACAGCTGTTCCAATTATTCAAGACATAGTCATGATGTTTTTGGTTCTTTTTTAGGTTGTTCTGTTCCCCGAGTCGGCCGTTTTCCCGTCAAAACTTTCACGTATCTGTGGCGAGAATCATTTGTGCCAAAGTGTTGAGTTTAAAACCAACAAGTGGTATGCAGACAGAGAAAGTCCCCTTAGAATTTCAATCTTCCAGCTTTTCTGGTTCCCAAATTAACAATTTTCAAGTCAAAACTTTCATGTGCCCGCACGCAAAGACCACGCGTATGTAGGAGCTGAATTGAAATCTTTAAGTTGTAGGTAAACAAAGACATCCCCTTAAAATTTAGCGTTTCAACTTTTCTAGTTCTCAATTTAGCAATTTTCCTGCTAAAAGTTCGCATGCCTGTAAGTGAGAACCACGCGTGCCTAGAGAATACCCACACCAATACACATACATACATACATTTATACACACACACACACTTACACACACACCTACCATAGTCCGTCACAATATGCGTTTTTGCATTTACATGTGGGCAAAAACTTCTAAAAATAGGACCCACTGCCCTGCATGCGGCGGTGGAATGGTATCTGAGGAGGCCTGAAGGCTGTTGCGAATCATCGGTATTAGACGGATCTCGCCAATGAACGGTTAGGATCTTTCACATGCACCTGTAATTGTAGGTTGCTGTCGAGGGATGAACTCGCGCATTCAGCTCGGGGCTTCAAATTTGGCAGTAGAAAAAAATATACAAAAGTTGCAAAACAAGTTTTCTGAAGTTATATATGTTTGCGGGGAAAGTTACGGCATTCTCTGGAAAACATTTTTTATTCCTAGAAAAAAGGTACAAGGGTATGTTTTAAAATAGTCTGCCTATTAATTTGAGGTGAGCAGTCTAAACTGAGGTTTCATTTTTCACC